CAGAACTGGGCTGTGAAAAGGAAGAAGAAAAAAACAGTACAAGAATGAGTTTTCAAGTTGGTAACTACTGGCAACTTATACTCAATTCTACAAGGAACTTGGTAAAAGCCTTAAGAACTGTGTCTCAGAACTGTCCCCCAAGGCAGGGGGTGACCAGGGGAAGCATTCATCATTTGGCTCCTATTCTCCAAAGGTCAAGAGCAGCCTTGTGACTGTTATCACCCCATTTCACTGTGCAGGCATGCGTGCTGAGCAGGTTCCCACCATTCCACACTCTGCCTTACAGAAGTCCCAGAGCAGAAAATGAGAGGTCCTCCCGCACCACACCAGCACCAAGCTGGTTGCAGCCTGTGCAGCTGCCTAGCTCTGGTCTCTGCAGGGATGGCTAGAGTAGGAGGTGGGACTGAGAGGATGCGGGTTGTGCACAAGAGGGGCTGGATAAAGACAGTAGTGTATTTAGGTCCTACGGCCCACCAATTCCTCTCCTAGACATGTAGAACAAAGCAATTCTGCCTCAGGTCTCTAATGGGACAAGTATGAAGATGTTTACTATGTCACTGTTTGTGGCAGGTGTCCATTGCTAGAGGAATGAAAAAGTAAAATACATACATGAAATATTATGCAGCAGTTAGAGCAATATATTCAATGTAAGTCCAGCAACATGAACAGGCTTTAAAGATTTAGTGAGCTTTTAAAAAATAGAAACAGAATGAGGTTTATGGCACAATATTATTTATGTAATTACTCATTCATACCCAATAACACTAGAAGTATATAAAGATACATCTCTGTTAAGGACATATATCAAAGACATAAGGAAGGCATGTATAAAAGGGAGGTGAATGTAAGTGGGGATTAAAGATGAAGGTGAAAATTAAAACAAAAGGAGGGCTTTGCATGAACTGATGATAATAGTTTGCTGTAGTTGAGGAGGGTAATTAATTCTCTGCACCTCAGGTCTAAAAAAAAAAAAAAAAAAAACCATACGTATGTTGTAACATATATGCCAGAACATTCCTTTTCCCAGACCCGTAGGCAGACATTAGCAAGCAATCATATTCCTCTTTTCATCTCTCCCTATGTATAGCTCCCTGCCCTCTGCTCTCTCCCCTGCATCTACTAGAGAATATGCATTATTTGAGGCCTATTTTAAAATCAGGGTTGGTAAAGTACTTGACCCTTTCAGGGTTAAAGTTGTAAATATATTTTAAAAATTTGAGATGTAAGTAAGGATTATGATCAAAAATAGAAGAAAAAATTAATAGTGGAGGTCAAATTGGAAACTGTTAGAGATTAAATAAGAATTTCCGGGCTTCCCTGGTGGCGCAGTGGTTGAGAGTCCTCCTGCTGATGCGGGGGACGAGGGTTCGTGCCACGGAGCGGCTAGGCTCGTGAGCCATGGCCGCTGAGCCTGCGTGTCCGGAGCCTGTGCTCTGCAGCGGGAGAGGCCACAACAGTGAGAGGCCCGTGTACCGCAAAAAAAGAAAAAAAGAAAAAAAGAATTTCCCCTTGCACCCAGAGTCATTGAGGACACCACAAGGTGGTCCTCTCACCCTTCTTGACACTGCTCAGAGTGCCCAACCCAAGGGCAGCTGGAAATAGTATAAATAAGAAAGCAAGAAAAATACCTTAAATGATCAGAAGACAGTCATATGGTGAAATTAAAGGCCTACAGTGATGATTCCCCTTAAAACATCCATGCTTCTGATAAACTTTGTGCTTCCTTTATGACTAACTGGAACTATAGGAGCAGTTCCACGTGTAGCTGTATTTCTGATGTATCTGTGGGGAGGAAGGTAATCCCTGCGTCTTACTCTTCCGCCATCTTCTCTCTTGATCATGGTGATGGTTTCATGAGTGTTTGCATATGTCCAAATTCATCAAATTGTATACAGGCAGACCTCAAAGATATTGCCGGTTTGGTTCCAGGCCACTTTTTTTCTTTTCTTTTCTTTTGCACTTAGTCTAGTTTCACTGGCTCATAGGGTGCAGCGGGCAGAGGCCTCAAACCCAGCACTTTCAGACCAGAGTTTCTAGCGCAAAGCGGCTGTACACCTTCGCAACTCAAGATGGAGGCAGCGACGGCAGGCCATGTGCAGAGAGGCTGCACCCGGACGGGATCTGGAGCTGTGACTAACTGGAACTAAGTAACATATCTGTGTTTTTCTTTTTTGCCTTTGGCTTCTAGGATAGTCAAAGATTAATTTTTGCTCAAAGATATTGAAATGATTGAAGCAGTTAGAGAAAGGTGGTTTGGTTAAACAAAACAAAAAGGTAACTAGTATAATATGATGAACCTTGAAATCATTGAGCTAAGTGAAAGAAGCCAGACACAAAAGGCCACATATTATATTCTTTCATTTATATTAAATGTCCAGAATAGTCAAATCCATAGAGACAGAAAGTAGATTAATGGTTTTCTAGGGTTGGAAAAAGTGAGGGAGAATGAGGGGGGAGGATGGGGAGTGACTACAAATAGGTATGGGGTTTCTCTGGTGGGTAATGAACATGTTCTAAAATTAAATAGTGGTGATGGTTTCACAATTCTGTGAATATACTAAAAACCACTGAATTTCACACTTTTAAAGGGTGAATCTTATGGTATGTGAATTATACCTCAATAAAGCTGTGTGTGTGTGTGTGTGTTTGTGTGTATGTATCATTAGCAAAAGGAGAGGTAGACGCTAATAGGCAGATAACTGATGTGGAAAGAGGAATACGTCCTGGAGGTCTGGGGTTCTACCACACAGCAGCTGTGAGACTTCTGGCTCATCATTACCTTGGACTTCAATTTCTTCACCACATGTAAAGCCACAAATTTGAAGTAGATGAAATCTAAGTCCTTTCCAAATACAAAATGTTAAAATGTATTAGTATTTTGTAATGCTTATGCAGGTCCCCTTGGCTCCTATCCCTCAAATGTCAAGAATAAATTTGATTATGGAAATTAAAATTAGATAAACAACAAATATGGGAGACAAAAAAAAAAAAGCCAGAGCTGGTCAGAGCCGGTCATTTCAAAAACAAAGATCTGAAGATCTGAGCCAGAGATAAATATTGAGAGTGGTGGAAAAAGCCACAGGAGTAGGTGAAATTACCTAAGGGGAATATTTTAAATTAGACTGAAAAAGGGCTAAGGATGTCCATCCAAAAACATTAAGGCATTATCGAATGCATTTATTCATTCACTCAACAAATACTGAGCATTTGCTATATGCCAAGCAGAGTTCTAGGGGCAGACAGTGAATGAAACAGAAGTCTCTGCTCTCATTGGCTTATATTTTAGTCAAGGGGAGGAGACTGACAATAAACACACAAACATAAATTTAGAAATAATAAGTGCTAGAAGGAAAATGAAAGGAGTAATGTGACAGAAAGTACCTTGGCAGGAGGGGAGGGTTGATATTTTAGACAGTGGTCAGGAAAGATCCCTCTAGCTCCTTATATAAGGACTTTAAAGTCTAGTTCCTTTAAATGAGGACTTGATTCCAGAAAATGGTTGGATTTACAAATTACTGTGTACACAGGACTCAGCAAGGACACAGCCCCTGTGTAAATAAAGTTCATCTGAATTGTCTTCTGACTTGCAGGAAGATTTGGAAGGAAACAATCTAAAACTTCTTGTAATTGGTGAGGCAGAATTGATTAGTGGTTAGGGGCATGGACTCTACACACATTGCCTGTGTTTGAATCCTGGTTTTATCATTGACTCACTGTTGACCTCACTGTGCCTTAATTTCCTCAGCTGTAAAATTAGAAAAGGAGAGCATTTTCTAATATTTAAGTGACCTAATATTTGTAAAGCACTTGGAAAGGTGTCTGGCATATGGTAAGCTCTTTTTTTTTTAACATCTTTATTGGAGTATAATTGCTTTACAATGGTGTGTTAGTTTCTGCTTTATAACAAAGTGAATCAGCTATGCATATACATATATCCCCATATCTCCTCCCTCTTGCGCTTAAAGTAAAGCAAATGTTACCTAGACAACTCTCTTTGTCCAAAGCACATGAGATTGTGTTGGATCAATGTAACATTACAGTTGGTTGCTTTTCTTTTGGATACGTTTGTGGTGGTAGGTAATAGACCAGATGTATGCTAAGTAGCAGGGAAAGGCCTATTTCGGACATGGTGAGAGGCTTAACGAACTGTGTGTCTACTATGAGCAGA